CTTCCTCTAGAAGGCGTAGGAATCTCTCTGTGTAATCGTAACACACGTTCTATTTCTCGGTCATCCATCTTGCTGAGCTGTCAGTCAACTAACAAGAGCTGCTATTCCTATAAATTCAACACTAGCAAGAGCTGACCGCATCAACTTTGTGCCGAATCGGGATGGACAAGGTCAAATTAAATTAGTCAGGTCTGTGAAGCCATGAGTACCACATTGGTGGACATACTATATTTGTTGCATATTGCAAAAATACTATAGAAGACTTAAAATAATATAGTATTATGGATAATCAAATAATTAAACAATAAGAATTTAACGATTTAAGAAAACAATACGGTGTGGCCCCCAGGACCGATATAATAATTTTCCCAGACAAGCTTATGGATATGATAGTGTGTACCATATTGGTGCATATGGCAGTCAACCTGTTAATATATTGAGAGCTATTCTCCAAAGTCCACGTTGTCAACTGTGAACAATCCTTCCACAGCTGATTTCGGTGAACGTTGGTGTTTTCAATTGGCCCTATACATTAACAAAAATTCGTTTTATAAAATTTTCGACAGAAATTTGGTTTCTGATGCGTTTCCTTCAATGAATAATGAATTATTTTCTATTGATAAAGTTTAAGGATGCACCACTTACTCTGAGTGTCCTTAAAAAATTGTCATCATAATATTGTTACGTGTATATTATTTTTTTATACGAACACTCTTAACAAATATAGTCTGTATGAGTTTGTAAGTATCTAGTTTTTGTTCTAGAGGTAACAGTGCCCTGATTTAACGAGATAGGACTTTCACGACTAGAGTTTTGTCATACTGTATTGTTTTTCGCATTTAGAAACCATGGTTTTGCCTTTTGTGTCCTTTGGACTTCTGTCCGTTGGTCTGAGTTGGTACCATATAATCAGTACCGATATTCTAAGATATATAGTTTCATATAATGTTTTTTTTTTAATGATTGTGTCCATTAAATTTTTATATAATTAAGTTTAATTGTATTATCCTTACTATATTTAATTTAATACTTATTGCGTTAATTTTCTTTAGATGATGAATTATTTAGAGATAAATAATTATATATCGTCGGCTTAACTAGAAAACCACGTAACTGCCAAAAGAGAAACTTTACAGGAGAGCAAAAAAACTGTTCTCTCTCAAGGTTTTGAATGCTATGTAGAGATCAACGGCTGTTTCCTGCTAACAAAGTGCTCACAAATAACCACAACAATATCAAATGTTAATTAAGTTTTGATTTGGTTTGTTTATGTGAGTTACTTGGTTTGATATCAGTTAACTTTGGAGTTACACGTTATGTTCTGAGGAGTTACGATGTTTGTTTCTTCATGAAAGAGTATGACGAACCAATTTTACTGGAGTTATAGAATATGCCAAAATAAAAATTAAAAATTAATATTAAGTTAAAATAAATGTGGAAACAGACAAATAATAGAGAGTTATTGCAACGCTCTTTTTTCAACGCAACGCTTCTTTATTAAAGTTAGCCTTTATGTTGACGTTGCAATAACTCTCTAATAACTAAAGTGACTCAGTGAACAAGTTTTTATTATCCAAAAAGACATTTTATAACACAACGAAAGATCATCTTAGTCCTAGGCGTACATAAAAAAATGAGTAAAATACTGAATTTTAATTATACAAATCCAACAAACTAGTCATCTGCTTGGGGAAGATCATCATAAAATGAATGAAAGTCAATTGGCAAAGTAATTTTAAGTTCCTTCAGATGCTGGTACTTCGCTCTTGATATTTTACGCCTCGCAAAATAAAGCTGTGGAAAGTCCTGTCCTACAGCTTCCACAACACTTATAGCTTGTTCACTTGTGGCTCCGCTTTGTCTTGAATTTGTTCCCGTTTTTTTTTGTCTTGTGCTTATTTTTTTACTTCCAAGTCTTCAAAGGCTTGTATTCGTCTTGGAATTGCAACTTAAAGTACATTTGTTTGTCACTTGTGTACTTAAGACAACGGATATCTATTACTTTAGGATCTCCTTGTTTGGAGCCAGGTCTTATTGATTTATAAATCATTGGTTTTCTGTAGTCCTTGAAAAAGGTGTGGTCAAGGTATTTAACTTGGTATGGTTTGGGATTTTTTCTTGCCTTTTCACATATTTTGATGTAGTCAGCTGGTACATTGATGTCTTTATTTTTCATAGCTCTTTCTATTGTTGAGTGCATCGAGTCACACTCCATTTGGGTGTGACCCTTTTCAAGATATTTCTGTTCTATTGTAATATTAAGCATAGAAGCCGCATGTAATAATGCATTTGATAAAATGGCGGACCAGTTTTGATAATTACAACCATCGCTGTAAAAAATTGCTTCTCTTTTGTCTTTAAAATCAATTTGGAAAGAAACAAAATAACACAAGCTGCTGGCAAACTCATTAGCCGTCAAATCCCCTTCACTCTCATTCCAGATATAGCAATATCCTTCTTTTGTTTTTAAATTGAAAATACATAAATTGTGTACACCGAGTTTGCTTCTGTAATACAAAGAGGATGCATTTGTCTTTGGACTTAATAAAAGCGACTGTAAGTCGACTGTAAACACGAATTCCTTCTCTTCTTTATCTTTGTTTTTTTCTGTTCTTGCCGATTCTGCTCTTTGTCGGTGTTCGTTGAATGATTCCTCCGATATGTGCTTTAACTTAAAAGCACGGCACATGTCGCACTGATCTTTTTTGGGTCTATACAATGACAGATTCATATCGTTGAATGCTTTATGAAAAGAGCACATAGACAGTGCGTTAATATTCTTTTTATTACACCAGCTCTTACTGTATACGTCATAAAGCTGTGCCTTTGATGTCCAAATTGGTTCAAGGTATAGTTTCTTTGAGCTGGTTCTGCAGTAGTGAGATTCGACGTATGGCATGCTTTGCAAAAACTCTTTTAAGTTGTATTGTTCAACTAAGCTCTCCTGTCTGTTCCTTTTTCCCCCTCATCTCTGCTGGGTATTTTATTGCAGTTATTAGTCTCATTTTCTGACAGACTATTTTCTTCATCATTTTCATTTTCATCCTCTACTTTATCTTTTAACCAATTCAATATCATCCAGTCTCCAACTCCCAGAGTTCTGAGTAAAGTTGACTTACAAACACGAACCTTCTCATTTCCAACTTTTAAATGAAACTTAAAAGACACTTTCCTCCTTGACTTGTTTGCTTCTTTTCGATCTCGAGCTCTCTCAGGTAGACAAACATCAGTTAGTCCTTTAACATACATTTTTTTAGCATCCCATGACATTTGCCAAAAATGAGTAAATAGCCTTTTCCTTGTATTTTCCGACAGCATTTTACACTCAAATTTAGGGCTTTTACATTTACATTCTACTGCTCTCATTTCTCTTTTTGGTTTTTTTACTACAAAGCGACTTTTTCCGTTGACAAGCTTTCTTCCAACATACTCTTCTCCTTTTTCTCGGGACATTTTCGCTTTTTTATACTGCCAATCGCTTTCATGAACTTGGTGCCTTTTTCTGCGTTTCCGGTTCTTTGCCTTACAATTTTCATCAGTTTCTTCAACATTTAACGCTACCACATCTTGAGGGTCATCTTCATCTTCATCTGCTTCTTGATTATGTTCTTCGACATCTTCATTTTGAGTAGGCCTAATCTCTTCTTGATCTATGTCTATAGGGGAGGTTTCGTCAGGTCCTACCATTATCTCTAAAAGAACATTTCCATTCACAGGCTTCATACCTACTTCTTCAACAGTTTCATCCAGTTGATCACTTATACTAGCATTAGCTAAGTCACTTAAACCTGAGATGATTATTGGTGGAGCTGTTAATAGATTGTTAATGTCTGACATAGTACCATCTTGCTTTAAAACAAGTAAATTTTCATCAAAGCAACTACCCAAAAGATCGAATTCTACTATTTCTTTTGCATGTGGGGTAGAAGTTGAAGGTTGGTATAGGCCTAAAAAGTTTTCTTCTAAAATTACATTGGTGGATTGTAGTAAAGAATTTTCATCAGTTTTCTGAACAATGTTTTGTTCTTGATTTTGTGTTAAAGTAACTAAAGATTCATCAATGCAACTACCCAAAATATCAACTTTTACTGTTGGTTCTGTATGTATGGTGGAATTTGAAGGTTTGCAAGCAGAGTTTTCTTTTAAAATAACATTGGTGGATTGTAATAAGGAATTTTTGTTACTTTTTTGCAACACATTTTCGTCTTGTTTCTTTTTCAATATTGCCATAATAACATCTTTTCTGGTTGACATTCTGAAAAAAAAATTTTAATTATAAAATATTTAAGGAATAATGTAAGTCTTTTTATTTTGGTATTTTAGCAAGATTATAAAAAAAACCTCATAACTCTTCTTTTTGCATTGTTTTTAAGTTATTCACATCTGCAAACCTTGTAACTCCTTTAAAACCAACATAGCAGAACACGTAACTCCTAATACCACTTTAACGCAGAACCCGTATCTCACATCGAACAGGACCTATTCAGTTATATACTGAGTAAAAAAGTACGTAAAATTCTTGTCCAGTTAACTATAAAAAATATATGAGTGTTTATTTTCTAGAACGTACATCTTAGCTAATGGTTATAATAACAGGAAATTCATTAAGGATGAAACAATATAGTTCTAAACTTTCAGACCAAGTAACTCCAGACATAACCTCAAACCAGACGAACAACCTTAAAAAACAAACCTCATAACTCCTTGATGAAGATTGATTGTAAAATAATGCAACAGTTACCTAAAGATATACTATTATTTTAGTATTTTATAATAACTTAGCTCTTACCTTACGAGAATACATACAAGTAGCTTGTACACACAAATAAAACAACATTTATCCAGTAAACAAACAAAGCACTACACAGCGGCCCACTTGTTGCATGTAAACAGACTGTTGGAGGAAGGGAGTTACCAGCTGTGCAAAACGAAAATTCCCTATTAAACGTTACGAGGTTTGAAATATGCCTTTTTTAGGAACTTAGAATTTTTTGTAAGATATGAGGTTTGTAGTTGTGTGCATCATTCTTGTGAGTCATATGCCGACAAAAACCGAAAACTGATTTTTCGGGAGTTACGTGGTTTTCTAATTAAGCTGACGATATAGTGTTAATTATATATATAGAACATATTTTTTTATAAAACATATTTCTAGGGTCTTTTATTTAGTACCAATGAATGTCTAAGTCAACCAACAGATGTTGTAAGATTGTGGTTGCATGAATGTCAACGAGTTTATGGGGATAAATTAACTGAAGAGAAGGATATAGATGCTTTCTCAAAATTACAGCTAGATGTTTTTAAGAAAAACTATGAGGTAACATAATTTTTAATTATTTTACTTAATTTTTTCAAACATGTTTTATAATTCTGCTAAGCAACAGTTCCTATATACAGTACATTAAGTTTTAAATTATATATAGGTACACCTTATAAGTGGCAATGACTGCGCGCCGTCGACTTTCCGCGAACCTCTGTATTTTTTATTTCTTTATTTTGTCCTTATACCGTGGTTGTTTAAACCAATAACAGCATAGATTTTTAATTCATTTTTGTAAACATGTCCGTTTATACGATCGCAGAAAAGGTTCAAATAATAAAATGGTTTTATGGTGGTAATTCTGGACAACAGTGTGTAGATTTATTTTCTACGTTTTTTGAGGAGAGACCAATTCCTTGCATCCAGTCAATTCATAATATTGTTAAAAATTTTGAAATGGGTATTCCCTCAAAAATTGCAAAAAATGTGACGCTCAAGAAGTACCACCAGAAAAATTTGAGAAAACAGAATACCGGGATACACAAATTTGTGTAACAATCGAGGTAAATTTAACAAGTTCAAGTGGAAGCATTGCTAGAGAGTTAGATGTTAGCAATGTCACTGTAACAAAAGTATGGAAAAAGCACGGTTACAAAAATTTTAAATATTCTAAAACGCAGCAGCTAATAACGAAGGCTACTGATGAACCAAATTTTATTAAAAACGTTAGTAGGTAGACACAACGTACGAGGTATTCGATGCGGGAAAACCAGCACAGAAATGTTGTTTACCAAACTCAACTTCCTCAAAAAGTTAACGTCTGGACTTCCATTTTAGGAAACCACATAATAGGTCCATTTTTTATTGAGGGCAACTTATATAGTAGAGTATACGCCGATTTGTTACAGAATCATGTTCTTCCCGCTATACTCACTCTTCCTGATGTAAATTTGAAGAATGATTGGCTTCATCAAGACGGCTGTTAAACTCACAAGGCTCGTACAATTAGGAAGTACTTAAACAATACTTTGAAAATCGAGTTATCAGTGGAACATGCAATATTAAGTGGCCTTCGCGATCTCCAGATCTTACACCTATAAACTTTATTTTTTTTTTAACATTTAAAAAGCATCATCTACGATCATCCTGAGGTTAGAGCACAAAATTTGAAAAATTTAAAAAACCGAATAAGTGAAGCCTCGAATTTTGTTACAGCAGAAACTCTTACATATGTCCGCAGAAGTTTTTATGACAGATTGGGATACTGTTTAGCCGTAGAAGGTCAAATATGTGAATCGTTTCTGTAGGGCATAAAGAATTATTTCGTAATTTATTAGGATTTTTTTTATTCTCAATAAGAGTATATTTTCTGTTTTTCTTTTGAAATAAATGCCCTTTTATTTTTAATTTAGCCACAAAAAAATGTTCACATTATTAAAAACCGATAGAAATGTACCGCCTTATAAAGGTCAGTGTATTTTACGTTATAAGAAATGAACCTGGCATACGTCTGAAAACAAAAATCGACAGACGGAGGTGTACATTATATGCATTAATTACTTTATGCATTAGGTGAACATTATGTGTTACTAAATAGTTTTCGTTTTCTCTTTTTTTGTGTAGGTGTCGGACGGGATCGGAGAATTACAATTAAGTATACCGGAGTTGCAATGTTGCCGATTCTAGCACTGTATGTAGTGTGTAATATTGTAAAGATAAGACTACCAAAGAGAATTGACGTACTATTGTAAAAATAATACCTCAATCAACCATGGGAGCTCATCGTCTATACCTTGCCTAGCTTAGTATCTCAAGGGTTCGTCTTGTCTTAAACTAGGGATTGAGCCTGAACTCTTAGCTGATAGCAAATAAGACAAGTTTTAACCAAACATATTTATTAAAAAAAATCAACCCCGCCAAAGCTTAACAATTGATTCGTGATACTTATTGCTTCGATCGGCTGCTTGTGTGTTGTAGATGTTAGGTCCTCCAATTAAATGTGTCTTTTGGAGAGCTGCAGTAACATGTGGATGTACCTAAGTCCTGATTAAGTTAGTGAGTCCTCAAATGGTTCATAAATGGATATGGTTAATAAAATCGATGTGGTCAATAAATTCTTCAAAATTATTCGATAAATGCAATAAATCCAATAAACCCAATAAATCCAATAAACCCAATAAATCCAATGGATCCAATAAATACAATAAACCCAATAAACTAAAATATGAGAAACAGCTTGCATTAGGGACACATCAAAAGGGGTTCAACTTCATTGCCATTTTACAAAATTACAATTTAATAAATAGCGTATGGCAAGGATAAAATAAAATATAATTGTTACTGCTTAGTTAAATTCTGTTAAAGAGTCCTAATGCATATAATCGGAAAAATATGCTATCGAAAGAAGTAAGGTTACAAATATTGGAAATGCTGTCAGAATTATAGAATAAATATCACAATGAAAGTACTTACCCCAAGAGAATTTGTAGACCATAAAATGAGTCTTATAAGAATTTTTGCCTTCTTTTATAAATTTCAAAGACGTAAAAAAAATAATCCCACCATTAAAGGTAATTGACAGAAAATAGGAAGGGACTGACTGAATGAAGTTAGCACAGATGTCATAGGATGTTGCCATAGATATCATGAACTTAGCTTGTCTGTCAACACAGAACAGAATATTTAGTCTGCCGGACTATTATTTAAATAATTATTTAAATATAAATTATTAGAGATGTGACGTTTATAATGTTACAATATATAATCCAAAACTTAACGTACTGTATATTGACTTATTTCCTTGTATGTATAAAAATGTTGTTTACATGAATCACGTGCAAATAATGACTGTATCACGGATTTGTAAATTTTAAATGGTTATTTAACAATCTTCTTTAATGATAAATTTTCACTGTCTGTCGTACAAAATAATATAAAGTATAAAAAGGACTAACACATATTAAACAATATATAATTTGGAATTCAATCAAATCCTCATAGCTATTCGTTGTCAGAATCTGCACCTAGATAATATGACATGCTAGGACAACATAAAATAATGGCTCCTTTGAGATGAAATCATCCTCAATAATTTTTACTTTGACTACAATTTTTATCACTCTTCTATGGACAATTTTCAGAACTCAAAAAAAAGAACTCAACCGATAGATTTTAAAAGGAATTAAAAGTGAAATATACATTTCGTGGAGCAGAAAGACAAGGATACGTTGAAGTGGGTTTTACGGTAAACCATAAATGCCACAGGTCGATATTGGGTTTCGCTCCAGTTAATGAAAGGATATGTAAAATACGCCTAATGGGTAAATTTCATAATACTATAATTATTAATATATAAAGGAAGATGATGTTATAGTCTTGGGTGATATAATCGCCAAGTTGGTAAAAGAGCCAATATATGCAGAATCCTTTGGTAAGCATAGCTTACATGATATGAACAACAACAACGGTATAAGAGTGGTACAGTTGGTATAGCAAATAAACTAGTTAGTACGTGGTTGTTTATACAAAAATATTCGTAAGGGAACCTGGATAATACCTGGTACTAATAAATTTAATCAAATTGATGATGTATTAATAGCTAAGCGATGGACAACCTCCGTAACAGATGTTAGATCTCATAGAGGCGCAAATTGCAATTCGGATAATTTCTTGGTCATGTCGAAGATAAAACAAAGGGTATAAATGGTAAGAAAAAAAAAGGTGTCAAACAAAGAAAAAGGAACAAATGGAAATGGAAAATGAATGGAATATCATCCAAACGATGACTGCTGACTGCAGGAAACATAGATTTTTATTACACAGGTCCATATTACTCAAAACAACTGTCGTTTGCCTGGCCGGTTCAGTGTCACAAACGGGGTACGTTTTTTACTTATTTCGCTGGTCTATAAGGAATATATCTAGCTTTTAGCTAATCTAACATTTTACTCTTTGTTGATGTGGATGTCAGTGCTTTATTCTCTTGAGTATTACGATAAAATACATTTTCCATCACGATGATACTTTTGGGAGACAAAATTCGTAATATCATGGTAATCACTCGAATTTGTTTGGGACTTCCATCTTATATAAAATTCACCGACAAAATCTAAACAATTACTACATTGAACATCACTATGTAAAAGGAAGAAAGGAAGACAGACTAAGTTAAAGAGAAGGCATTGATAGAAAAATCATAGAAACGGAAATAGACGTCAACTTGTGGGAAGACAGAGAAGAATTGAGACTGGAAATCAAAACACGTCGGAAAACATATTAACTCGATTGTATATATTTATGTATAGATAATTTTATTTGACAAGATTAATTATTCGATTTCCATGTTAGTTTGTTAATATTGTTCTATAATTTTGTAGTAAATAGTTTTACAGAAAATGACAGTTTTTTTTATATCTCTTATTATTGCCAAGATTAAGTGGTATGAAGTAGAGTAACTTATATGTCGTCATTATATGACAAAAGTATTTTATTCAAATTAATTATTGCAGGAAATTGACGAATCAGTTGTCCTGGAAAAACCAAATATTTATTGTCATTTTGCTGGAGGAATTGGTGAACCTAAGTACATGCCAGTAAAAAAGTGGATCAATTTAACAAAACTGCTAAACGAGGCTATGGCTAGTTATAACGATTTGGTAGCAGCAATGAATTTGGTTCTTTTCGAAGATGCGATGATGCACATATGCAGGTAAGTAAAATTCAATTTTACATACATTTTAAAATTTATATTTAATAAATGGTTAGTGTAAAGACACTACTGATTTATTAAGATTAACAGATTCTAGTTAATTTTTCATATGTGTTCCGACACAACACAGATCTCATGGCCCTGTACGCCTGTTTATAATTTGTAGTACTTTTAATAAAAACTGCTGAAAGTACCTAATTTATTTGCTCCCTAATTTATCCAGAGATTTCGTCAGTCACATAAATGCGCGAATGCGTGTATGAGTGTATTTCTCTGTGCTGATTCCAAAATTAACTAATTAGTCTATGCTCTTTTAAGAGCAGAAAGACCTATTTTGTGAATTGGGTGTGCTTATATGCGAGCCTCTCTTATGTTGTCTTACCTCTCTGTAGAAATTTTTACTTTGATTTCGTCTGTATTCTCCTTCTACTTTTTCAATTTGTTGCTGAAGATATTGTCTCTCTTTTTTGTCTAAGTGTTCTTCTGGCTGCGGCTCTCTCTCTCTCTCTCGCTCTCTCTCTCTCTGTGGAATCGTATACGTTTTTTTTTGATAGATTCGACAGATAATCAATTCTTCTTTTGTTTGCTTCTTTTACAGTTCTTTCACATTCGTCGTCGAACCATTTTTTCTGTTTTGTTTTTTTCGTTCTTCTGATAGATTTCTCTGCTACTTCTGTAATAGTTGTTTTTATGGAGTTCCATGCTGATCTATATCTTCACTTTCATTTTTATTTATTTCCAAGACCTGAAACCTATTTCTTAATTCTACTTGGTACTGTCTTTGATTATTTTCTTCTTTTAGCTTCGCCACATTCCATCGTTCGATCTTTGTGTGTTTATCTATTGTTTGTGTTGAAATTCTTGTTCTGAGCTTGGCCTTTACGAGAAAATCGTCTGTGTCGCTGTCCGGTCCTCTTATAGTTCTTACACTTATTATGCTGCTAGAATGTCTCGTAGTTGCTAAAATGGACCAAACGTGATCCATTATCGTTTGTAACTTCATGAAGACTATATATTCCTGCTACCGGCATAACGTAGTCTTCTGTGCCTACCTTTGCCTTTAGATCATCTAGTATTATTTTAATATCGTGGTTAGAAGCTTCTGTGTAGAGTTGATTTAGAGAGTCGTAGAATTCATTTTTATCATCCTCTAATGCGTCTTCGGTTGGTGCATACACTGAAAATATAGTTAAATTGGACCATTTACCTTTTAATCTTATGATGCAAATTCGTTCGTTTATTGGTTTAAAGTCTAATAACTCTGACTGTAGTCTTTCATGTATTACAAAGCCACATCCTCTTTCATGTCGAGTTTCATGTCCAGATCACAGTACTAATGACTTCTCCATGTGTAATGTTCTAGACCCTGTCCATCTCATCTCCTGAATGGCTACTACGTCATAGTTCAAGTTTTCTAGTTGTTTTATCGCTGTCGTGGCAATTCCAGGTCTGTACCAACTTAGTACATGCCATGTTCCTAACAGAATATCCTTTGTCCGCTAAGTGGAAACAGCATCTTATAATAAGCATCACTACTCCTTTGAACCTCTCTTCTAGTGATTTTCTATTTTTTAATTTCCTTAATGCTTCCTTTACCTCTTCCTCCCCTTCCTCCTTTAGATTTTCAGGATTTAAAATTATTACAAAAAACTATGAATTTATACGAACACCTCGGAATGTTTTCCAAGGTACCCCCGTCAGAGTCTTAAATGAGCTTATAATAAGATTCGGCTATTAATACGGGTCAGCTATTGTTATATTTCTTTAATACCGATGGAGTTAGAAACAAGTCTTAACACTTTGGCCGCCACGCTGAATCAGTGCAGAGTTCGGTTGGGCCACGACTGTCTTTTTTACCTATCTCTAAATTACCTAATTAAAAAGTAAAAACCTTTTTGACAAAAAATATTAGTTACGCATGTATGTTTGGTGTGTCTGCCAAAAGTATACACGAGACGCAGAGAATCAAAAATGTCTCTGTATACTTGTATATATATATATATATATATATATATATATATATATATATAGATATATATATATATTATTTAAGAGGCGGTTACCAGGTCTAACCTTGACGAAAACGTTGATGATCAAGTAACTCGAGAACACGAGAACGTCAGTTGTGAGTTGTGAAGAAACATTGGCAACATGCTTTAATGCATTAATTATTATGCATAATGTCTTACAAAAAAGTACAACAGAGATTGCAGAGTTTATGGGATGACAATATGAGCGATGATACCGAGGATTCATATCACAACGACTCAGATAATGATCCTCTGTACAAACAAAATAGCTCGAGTCTCGAGTGCTGGCAGTAGTGTATTAACTTCCAGCGAACCCAGGGTAAAAAGACGTAGGATTGAGGAGCTGGACCTTGAAGGTTAATAATTTCTTCTTTTGCATATTGTATAGAATGTGCGATTTTATTTACCGAGTGTTTCAATTCATAACTCAGGGAATTTTATTATTTACCAAAGGTATAACACCAAAACGAAACTCAGGATCTCACTAGGTAATAAAAATTTAGTATCAAAAATAAAAAAAAAGTTCATAATGATAATTGTGGTACGAATGAATCGTCAAAGATTTCTGCAATTTTTTCGACTAACAATAACAAAAGGAATATGAACTAGCGTAAAACTTTCCTAAAGATGTTTTTTTGTGGTTCATCATTTATGGTTCATCAAATGTTGAAGAGCAAGATGTTGTATCGGATTGGGGCGTAGTTGTTGGAGATCCCAAAGACTTTAATTTTCATGGGCATATTGGTTTGGCTAAAGAAGTACAAGATATGAATGGTACAGATATATTTGCTTACTATAAATTATTTCTTGATGAGGTGTTAAAAATACTTTAGTAATCGAAACCAATTTGTACGCGAAACAAACCATAATAAACGCCATTACGGAAGAGACCCTCATGCTGTCCTCTAGGCTAAGAAAATGGACCAACGAGACTCGCAAAGAAACGCATTGTTTTCTGAATTTTCTGCTATGGACGAGCTTAGACAAAAAACCGAAAATCACAGATTATTGGAAACATTCTGAAATTTACTGGTCTAAAGCGGCAAATCAAATTTTTCGAAACCGCTTTGAAAATATTCTAAGAACAAGTCTTTTCGCTAATAATGAACAATGCGAAGAAGGGGACCGACTCAGCAAAATTCGATTTTTGGTAGACTCCCTAAATAAGAAGTTCAAGCAAGTTATCTTTCCTGGCGAAAATGTTTGTATAGACGAAACAATGGTACTCTTCAGAGGGCGCTAATTTTTCGACAATATGTCAAAAGAAAACGGAATAAATTCGGAACTAACCTTTTCAAACTATGTCTCCCTGGTGGGTATACTTACCATTTTAAAATATATTGCGGAACAGAAAAATTAAATGATATGCTGGTAGTCACTAAGATTGTTTTTGAACTTATGGGTGGGTGTCTTGATAAAGGCATGACTCTGTATACCGATAACTGGTATACTAGCACCGAGTTAGTACAAAAATTACTTGAAAGAAAAACCCATCATGTCGGCACACTTAGAAAAAATAGCAAAGGAATTCGAAAAGAAATTTTGTCAGCAAAATTGAAAAAAGGCGAAATTATAGGCAGAGAAAAAGAAGGCATATTTCTATGCAAATGGAAAGATAAAACAGACTCACAAAGGGAAATGACTCACAACAAAATCTGATGAAACACTAGTTCCAGGCAGAATAAATAAATTTAAACCCACGACAATTGTTGATTATAACAAAGCAAAAACGTTTATTGATTTATCTGACCAGATATCGTCATATTCAATTTCTAAGACGAAGTGTTAAATGGTACCGTAAAGTTGCAGTAGAATTGCTTACTGGAACTTGCTTGTTATTTATTCAATAAAAAGAATAACAAAGTAGATCAAAAACAAACAACAGAATTCCGAGTTTTATGTTTAAGTTTAAGTTTTAAGTTTTATGTGAAAAGAAAATCCTTGAGACTTTCAACTGCAACGTCGACTTAAACAGAAATTGATCCCAACTGATAAAAAGGACGTTGTGCTATATGCTACAAAAAATATAAGGATGCCAATAAGCGCGTATACGCAACAAAAAATTCAAGTGAGTTAAAACCAAATGTGAAACTTGTGAGGAACAATGCTTTTTGAAGAGTGGAGATATATAACGGGATAAGTGACAAAAATTTTAAATCAATTTTTTCTCCAGTTTTGTGGGATATGTAGCTAGCCTGTAAAATGAGCCAAGTAAAGTGCGCGCAAGCACTCTTGACCACGGCGCAGTAGATGAAATTTGGTTTAGTCACCACTTCCGTGTGAAACGCATTGTACATTATGCACTGTATAATTCCATTTACAATAGAACCTTTCTGCCTTTACGTGAATTTGACTCCGCCTTCGCGCAGCTCCATGGTCAAGAGTGCTTAGCGCACTATAATAAGTGTCTTGAATATCTGCTTAAAGTATTGCTGAAGAATGCGCGCGCGCTAAGTGAAGCGGTATTGTTCCGATATAGTGGGCTATGTGCGTGAACCACTCAGTCGACGTTTTTGCGTGTGGAATGAATCAGTATTATTTTGGCGGTTAAAATCACGTGTGGATTGTACTGGATGCTATTGTTTCCTAATTAAAATAAAGTTACCAATTTTACTTTATACAGTTGAAGATGAATACAACATAACCAAATAAAAGGCAAAAAGTTGAAGGTTCCTGGCAAGGTGAACGAAAAAAGCTGCGAACTGCAGGAGAGGCCTACACAACAAAACGAAACAAACTTGTAGAGACTAAAAGCCTCCACCTGATAATGTACCTAAGCTATATTACAGATTTCTATTTTATTAGAGCATGTATTTTTTACTTAGTTTTCTTAATAACAAACGTAAGAGTTATGCCTCTTTTAATTTTGATGTAGATTCTAGACAACGTTAAAACAATATTGTTATAGGATTTTTTTACATTGTTTTACCTACATATTATGCTAAAAATTAGGGAGCCAATTACAAACATTTTTCAGGTTCTTTGCAAGTGTAATTATAACTGCAAAAAGTTGGAGCATGAACAGAAGCAAGAACATGAATTTTTTGATTTAAAAATTAAAAATACTCAGAGTGATGAGACTCATCACTCTTCATCCTATAAACCGTCGCCGTAAAAATTTGGATGCACATGCAAGTCATAAGCAAACGTCTATAGCATACAGTTTTCCAAATGGACGGGGAAGTGTTTTAAGAGTATGTAAAAAGACTATTCAAGGCCTGTTTGGTGTTACCAAACGACGCATTGAAACACTTGTTAAATATCTAAAGACGGGAGAAGTAAGTTACACTGAAAAAAGAGGCAACAAAGGTAAAGTAAAAAAATACACCGATGAGGTTGATCAACGGATTGTCGACCTTGTGAGCTGCTTGCCCAGAGACGAAAGTCACTATTCAAGGGCTAAGACTAATCAAGAATATTTAAGCAGTGATTTAAACACTAGTAGATTACACCGGTCTTTTAATGAAAAACATCCAGACAATAACGTATGCCGAAAATATTTTGATAGATACTTAAACTCAAATTCCCCAATCTCTCATTTCGCAAGCCTCGCAGTGACACATGCGATACTTGTGATCTGCTTTATGCGTCGATGAAGATCAATTCAACAAACCTTAATGGGAAACATCGCTTAGAATTACACCATGGTAAAGCTGAGAAGGCAAGACAAGAAATGGATAATGATCACAAGAAGTCGCAAATGCGCAATAGTGATGTTTGTACGTTTAGTATGGACCTTCAACAAGTTTTTAGTCTTCCTGCTCTAACACACAGTAAAATGTACTACTCAAGGCAACTGAGTGTTTACAACTTTGGTATTCACATCGGAGACAACAATGGCGTTTTTACTTTTTTGTGGCATGAAGGACAAACAGGTAGGGGTGGAAATGAAATTGCATCTGCAATATTGAAAGCAGTGCGTTGCTGCAAAATTACACCAAAACGTAAATTGATAGTCTGGAGTGATAATTGCGGCGCACAAAATAAAAACCGGATGTTGCTTTACTTATGGTTTTATCTGATCGCAGAAGGGTTTATTGATGAAATAGAACAAAAATATGTTGTTTCAGGCCACTCGTTTTTAAGTTGCGATCGCGACTTCGCACAAATAGAGAAAAAGAAGAGAAAGTCCCGTTGCGAGGTTCCTTTAGATTTAGTCAAGTTAATTGTTTCTGTACGGCTTGGTCACCCCTAAGTAGCAACATTATTAGAGACTAACGATTTTTATGATTTCGATGCTGCATCTGCAAGAACACTTAATACGCAACGTGTCCAAATATCTCAACTTAATTGCATAAGGATAGTAAAAAATAAACCTGGAAAAGTACTTGCTCGTACAACTTTCAGTGATTTGGAGGAATGGCAAGAAGTGAGCGTTTTTAAGAAAGGCATTACTATGGAAAATGTTGCATCGTCCTTATTATCGTTGGAATGTAGAAGCAGGTTGACGGCGGACAAGAAGAAGGACCTTGGCGAAATGATAGGATACTTAAGTGAAGAAAGTCAAGACTTTTTTCAAGAATTATTACTTTAATACTGAAACACTTTATTTTGCATTAATTTGTTAATCAGGTCTATTGAATAAAAATGATATTTCCTAATTAATAATGACTTCTTTAATCTAAGGGTACATAAATTTTGTCTTGTTTAGAATTATTTAAGCATATTCTATTAACTTACCCTTTGGCTCAATGTTTACACATAACCCTTTGTATAAGAAATTACCTTGTGCACATATCCCGTTATATTTTTTTAAATTAAAGAAATTATTCTTATTAGTGTGTACGTAACTAAACAATTCAAAAAACCATAGACTTGTGTAAAAATGTTTGTACTTTGCAATAAAATACAAGATTATAACATTTTTCTTTTTCCGCTGTGTTTCCTGAAAAAAACTCATTTTTTGTAAAATAATGGTTTTGTTGCTTAGCCCGTTATATATTTCCACTCTTCTTTTGATAATCATATTTGTAACAGAAAATAACGTTTCTTTTATTTTTTCTTTTTTTTATTATATAAAATTTTTTATTAACTTTTTTTACTTACTCGTAAAACTTTTGTAATAAATAGTTTGATTTTACTTAATTTTAACCATTTGAATAATGAAGGTGGTGTGTTACTATGTGTGATAAATGGTATAAAACGGTATAGCTAATAAAATCGTAACAAAAAAGTATGTTTGATTGATATGAGGTTGAAAAAAAAGTATTTTCATGCAGTCTCCGGCCACGTCAGTTATCTACCCATATAAAATACAAACGTATCACGTTCTTTGAATATACACAAGGCTCCCACCAAAACTTTGCATGTGTATATAAAAGTATACACGAAGCGATTTTGACTCTCGCCTGTGTATAATTTTGGATACACGGCGGTCGAAGTGTTAAATTCACCACATTTTTAGCGACAGACTCAGATAAAATACATATTTTATTTGCGCCGCCCGTGTTGCAAATTTTATTAAAATTTTTATTTATTACAAGGTCTCGATTGCGAAAAGATGCTAATGATTTGAAAATTAAAATTACTGATAAGTTTCTGCTGTTTCTACATATACAAAAATATATTTTTTGTATAAAGTTGCTGCTTAAAATCACAACTTCACAAAAAAAAATTAAAAATAAGTAATCTAATTAAAATATTTAATTAGATTACTTCCGGAACTTTTGCGAATACTTTCTATCTATTATTTGTTTTTAGAATTAACAGAATATTAGAATCTCCACGTGGAAGCGCATTACTAGTTGGAGTCGGAGGGAGTGGAAAACAATCTTTATCAAGATTGGCAGCCTTTATATCATCTCTAGAAGTTGCTCAGATACAACTTAAAAAAGGATATGGAGTACTGGACCTTAAAAAGGAACTATCTTCTTTATACCTGAAAAGTGGTTTAAAAAATGTTGGAATAATGTTTTTAATGACGGACGCGCAGGTAGATTAGCCTGTAATAATATTTTTTTAGTATATTTGAATAATTTTTCAAAGCTATTTACATTTTAAATTTCTTGTTTGATATAAGCAACAAATATATTCATTGATATAAGTTACAAATTATAAAACCTGCAGTTGTGTACGGCTTTCCGTTTAAAACGTATTGTCGGGTATCCTTCCCGTTTCCTGCTGTTTTAACTTTGTTTATCTTCTCATCTATCACGAAATTAAAGAGAATTTTACTGTAGCTCTCTCCCTGTCTTCCCTCCCTATCCATATCTATACAGCTATTATCTTAGTTAGCCGGCTTCCTCTCTTACAAATGTGTACCAACCTAACCAACTTAAAGTGAATATTTAGAACCAACAAGGGATTACATACTATAGGAATACTTTTCACGCTAAGGTGCCTTTTATAGCGACTTTATTACAACACAAGACAGGCAACATCTAGGAGGTAAATATATAACATAAGGATAGATAGAGGGAACAAAGCTAGAATTATACATTCACATTACACATTCCATCCTAAATTTTTCTTTTAGTCCTTTTTAAATATCCAAAAATTTGGTTAAGCCTAATATTATGACGAGAGATATATAAAATAGAAAATTGGCACTACGGAAGAGTTCTTCGTCTTCAAGTGCCGTCTCCATCAATGGAGGTTAGCGGTTATGGTGGCAAACGTTTGTCTATCTTCAGCTGCTCTTAAGAGTTCCTCAAATCCAAGTCCTGTCCAGTTTCTGATATTACGTAACCAGGACAATTTTTTTCTTCCAATTCCTCGCTTCCCTTCTATTTTGCCTTTTATTATCAACTGAGGGATGTAGTATTTCTCGTTGCGCAACAAATGCCCTAAATAACTGGTTTTTCTTCTTTTGACTGTTCTCAATAGTTCTTTTTCTAAATTGAGTCTAGCTAGTACTTCTTCATTTGTTTTTCGTGCTGTCCAAGGAATTTTTAAAATTCTACGGTACACCCACATTTCAAATGCCTCGATTCTATTCAGGCTCTTTATTTTTAAAGTCCACGTTTCGGCTCCGTAGAGAAGAACAGACCAGATAAAACATTTTACAAGTTTTAATATCAATTTAATATTTATATGTGTATCGCAGAATAAAACGCGCATCTTAAAGAAACTATTCCTAGCTTGAGCAATTCTCGCTTTAATTTCTTGTTCTGGGTCCAGCTTGCAATTAATCCAACAGCCAAGGTATTTGTATTGGTTTACCTGTTCTAAAATATTCCCATTTATTTTTATAGGTAAGGGGATATTCTGTTTTCTTTGGATCATCATTACTTTTGTTTTTTTTTTTCGTTGATCTTCATTCCAAACTCTCGACAAGCATCCTTAAGGTGGTATATAACCCTCTGTAAGTTTGTGTCTGTATCAGCCAGTAGGACAGTGTCAACTGCATATCTTATGCTAGATATTGGTTCTCCATTAATTTTTATCCCTGTGGAAAGGTTTCCCAAGGCTTGCTTGAATAGTAGTTCCGAGTAAAGATTGAACAGCATAGGGGATAGTATGCATCCTTGCCTTACTCCTTTATTTATACTAATATTTCTAGATGTATGATCGTCGATCCTAATCTTGGCACTCTGCCTCCAATATAAGTTCTTAATTAATCGGAGATCTTTACTATCCAAGTTGATGGTCTGCAAGGAATTTAACATTTTATTATGGTTTACGCGATCAAATGCCTTTTCAAAGTCTACAAAACATAGAAAGACATCCTTTTGTTGGTCGTAACACTTCTGCAGCAGTACTTGTAATGAAAACAAGGCCTCTCTGGTCCCCATTCCGGCTCTGAATCCAAACTGATCGTATCCAACTTCTTTTTCACACCTTTTGTATACTCTATTGTGAAGTATTTTTAATAGAATTTTAAGCACTTGGCTCATAAGACTTATTAATCTAAAATCTGCGCATCGCCTGGAGTTAGCTTGTTTTGGAATGGGAATAAAAATAGATTCTAACCATTCCTCTGGTATTTCCCCAGTATCGTAGATTGCATTAAACAAAATTACTAACAAATCAATGTTATTACTTTCGATCAATTTAAGTATTTCAGGATAAACTTCATCAGGTCCAGGGCTTTTGTTGGTCTTTAATTGTTTAATGGCATATTCCACTTCGACTTTTAGAATTGGTGGGCTTTCAGTAACATTGTATTGTAATGTCTATTCTTTCATCTCGGAACAGCTGTTGTATAAATTTTTCCCATTCTTCTATTTTATCTTTGGTGTTATGAATTAACTCTCTGTTGTTATTTACCAGTGGGCAATGTTGTTTTTTGCGGATGAATGAAAATTCTTTCACCTTCTTGTACATATTGTAGCGTTTTTTTATTTAAAGTGTATAGAAAAGATTTCTGTGTTACGTCCCTGTTGTTTTTACCAAAGAAAACAATCGAAATAATATTTCAAGTTTTTTTGACGAGATTTTTAAATGCGTATATTTCTACTGATTCAAAAGTAAATATAGATGTTTTTTTGTCTGTGTTTAGATTCAAATATCGAACCTTTTGTTATAAGCCAGGTAAAACTCAAGTTTAAAATACGCACGTATTTTGTTAATTTGTATTATGTAAATTTATGATGCCCCCTGATAAAAAAAAGGTTTTATTTGTTTTCTTCGTTAAAAACGCAATAAACCATGAATTCCCCTAATATTAAAGTTGTTTTTCGTTATTAGTCGAGGGTCAAAAAAAGAATATTTGTTTGTTTAGGCAATAAAGGAACATTTAAAATTTGTTTTTTTTGTCGATACAAGCGAGGGGATATTGTTTTGGTTCTTGAGTTTGGGGGACAGGTTAGCTGCAAGACGGAAGGGAAATTTTTGGCTAGATTCTGGTAAAATGTAACGAAGCAGGGGGGTCGAGTTTTGAGTTCCAAACAGGGCAGACATGTGAGAATGGAGTAAAAGATTTGAGAGGAGGTGATGAAGAACTGCTCAAAGAGGAGTCGAGATTTAGATTCCAAGCGGGGCAGACATGTGATAATAAGTCGAGATTTGAGTTCCAAACGGGGCAGACATGGACAATTGAGACCAAGATTTGATTTGAAAAGGAGTCGAGATTTAAGTTCCAAGCGGGGCAGACATGTGGGAATGGAGTAAAAGATTTGAGAGGAAGTGATGAAGAACTTCTCGAAGAAAAAAGTCGTTTAATTGTGATGTTGTAAGCCGGCATTCATTCGCCAAAATGGTGGAATTTTCACTCTAAGTAATATGTCGTTTCTGAAAGAGTGACCAGTAACCACTGTTTTTATTTTGGCTGAAGATTTATGATGTTTGAGCAGTGAACAAGTTTAGTTCCTGTTTGTTTTTCGTTTTTTTTGAGAAATCCAGTTCCTTCCCGAGATGCCCTTTTCACCTCATGTAGAATAATATTGGAGCAGTTTTGATTTGGATGTGCCAGTTTCAGCTTCCAATAAAGCTTTCCGTTGATGTGCAGTTAGATACCCCGCAGAAGTTAGCCAGTTGTTCAAAAGTTTAAGTTAAGATGTGTGAACTGAGGTAACATTTACGTTATTAATTTTTAAAGTAAAAATAGACATTTTCTTTTAAAAAGACAAAATTTGCTTTCTTTTATAAATTATTTTTTAAATTATTTACTAAGAACCGTTTCGAAGAGTTTTGTAACCTTTTGTAAACAGATATGTAAGTTTTTTTTCATTTGTATTTGACAGCTAATTTTATTTAATATGCCTTTGTATAAGCTGTATTTTTGAAAACTGTTTGGTGAGACAAAAATAAATGTTTAATTTGTTTCTCTGATCTATTTTGAGTTTTATTTGAAAAAGATATTTTTTTTCTATATTTTTGATGTTATACAATTATTTCCCTAGTTACAACTAGTGGTTGTAATAGGTATAATTTGGCACCTCAAGTGGCGCCCTATATTAAATTTCTTGAGGTGTTTCCGTTAATTTTCATTCTGTTTGTCCCAAGAGATTTGTATAAGTACCCCTTTATTTCTTTTTTTTTGTAGTTGCCCAATCCAACCCCCAATATCTTCAACTTATCCACGACCCAGCTCTCCAACAACCAACTGAGTGTCCGTATGCACTTGTTTCGATTATTTTGTTTGCCCAATCTTGTCCCCCATATTCTTACCCTGTGGTAAGCAAAATAGTCGTTACAAATTTGGCGCCCAACGTGGGGCTTGTCTTAGATTTGCGCCAATTGTACCTGTTGTTACAATTTTGGCGCCCCAACGTGTGGGCATTCTTTAGTTTTGCGCCAATTGTACTTTCGTTACAATTTTGACGCCCATAGCGTGGGGCAATTTTTAGATTTTTGATCCTTTTCCTGAAGCCACATATCTTTTTCAGTTTCCCCAGTTCCCTGCCATTTATATGAAACTTTTTTCCTTTTGAATAGTGCCCCAAAGTGTCTCACAAACAGTAGTGTATTTGTATTACAATGTATGTATTTTGTACCAACATTATGTATTGTTGTTTTTTCAGGTAATGTACTTATAGTGACATATGTATTGTTCTTCATATATGTAATGGTAAATGAAAGCAAATATTTGAGTTAAATATTTAAATATGAGTTTTAATTGAAGTATTGATATTGAAAAGAATTTAAAAACAGTAGCAAATTATACAGTTACTGTTACATTTATTTTTTTATTGATTCGACAAATTTTACAGAATAATCGGTTTTTGTAATTTTTTATTTGTTGGGTCATTTTGAGTAAATGTGTGTATTCGTTTGAGTGACTTTTGAGCTATGTAGTTGAGAAGTAGTATTATGCAATTTGTCTTCTAATTAACCGTCTCTGAAGGTGTATTTAAATGCCAAGGGTTAATTAATGTTGTTGTACGAGGAGTAGTCATTGTGAGTCGTAGAGAAGATTCGACAAGTTTAGTCTCAGTAGTAGACTGTTTGTTTATTGTGTATCCTTTCTTGTATCTGAATGACCACAGGTGTAATATTTGTGATCAGGAGATGCTGTTTTAGTTTTGACTAGGAGCAGTCTCATTTAGTTTT